ATTTTTTTTATATGGAAAACCCTGGAAACACAGAAAACAAAAGCAAAAACTAACAGATGAGATTCCACTAACCTAAAAAGTTTCTTCCTAGTGAACAAAGCAGTCAACAGATCCCAGATGACAGGTGACAGAATACAAGCAGCCAGCAGGCCACACGTGACAGCAACGAAATTCGCAGATGTGTTTGGGAACTATTATCTGACAAGAGGTTAATATCCAAAGTACACAAGAACCTCAAACAACATAATATGGAAACTCACACAAGAGGGCTGAAGAATTGGCTTAGGCCCACACTTTTAGTCTGCACAAGAGCTGTCCCCACAGATGAACCCGAAGGGAAAGATTGCGTTTGCATGCCTTAGGCAGACACAGCCCACCCAGTCTCCAGATCTGATGCCTCTCAGAGCTGCTTTTTACTTCAGTCTGGCTCCTCAACCAACTCCTCTGAAATGGAGACACAGTTCCTACTTGGGGAATGTTGAAAGAGTCCATGAGAGGAAGCAAAGAGGAATCCTTACTATAGCGTAGCTGGGGAGCGGCTGAAGAAAGAGATGAGGATGTAAAGAGCTCTCCTGCCAAACTACCTGAAGGAGACTAAAGCTCCACTTTTTACTTTTATTTTAAACTCTGCTCAAACTACAGCTTTCAAATCACGCCCCTTTTCTCACCAAATGCACATCTTCATGACTTTCTGTGTGCATGCAGCGCTCCTCCCTCTTCCTCCATCTCTCTCATGGACATATGTGTGTGTGTGTGTATGTATTTACATGTGTGTGTGCATGTGCGTGCATGTGCGCTTGTGTGTGAGGGTGTATGAGTGTGGACGTGTGTGTGCACGTGCATGTACACATATGTGTGTGCAGATGTGTGTGTACGGCATGTATGCATGCATGTGTGTGTCAGCAGCAAGCATTAGCCATGCCACAGCTTAGACTGCACACTGTCCTGAAAATTTTTCTCCACCAAGCGTGCCAGTCCCTTGCTTTTGAATTCCACCTCACTCAAGTTCTCAGGATAGGAATAGAACAGAGCCCTATTTACAGAATATAGCCATGCCGTCGATAGAAACGAGCTGGACCTCCACTGTTGACGTCTCTCTTAGCATTCTGTTCTTCTGCCCCCTCTAGAAAGGCCCTTTAAAGTCTGCTTACAGCAATTCCATTCTGTGAAACAGATTCGAAGGCCTGTGAACCACATGATCAGGTTGTCACAGCAATGACCTTACTCCTCAGTAGCCATTTTTGGTATAATTTATTTTTACACTTTCTGTGACAAACTATCTCAAAATCAGCCTGAAGATATGTCTTAGTTATTGTTCTTTGGGGTGACAAAGCACCAGGGTGAAGTGATTAATAGTGCTTATGGTTTCCGAGGGTTTAATCGTGCTTATGGTTTCTGAGGGTCAGCGCCCATGATAGCAGAACCAAGGCATGGTGGTAGGAACAGCTGGAAGATTCCATCTTGATCTATGAGGAGGAGGCAGAGAGCTAACAACGGATGAGGGGAAGCTTGGACTCCTCAGAACTCACCTTCCTGACATACTTCCTCCGACTATGAGTATATAGAAGCCATTATCATTCGAGCCACCAAAGGGAGAGTGTTTATTTGCTCTCATGACTTGAGGGGAGACAGTGTGGCTGGGTGTCTTGCGTCTGTCTGTAGCTGGAAGCCGAGAGGGGAATGCTGGTGCACACTGGGCTCCTTCATTGCTTCCCCCTTTTACTCAAGCTGGTCAACTGCTTGTGTTTAAGGAAGATCTTCCCTCCTCAGTTAAACTTCTCTGACGGCACCCTCACAGATCCACCCACAGCTGGGTTTCTAGATGATTCTAGAGTCCAGTCAGGTCGATGGTGAAGACATCACACGTGCATTTGCAGATTCAAGACACGGGATACACATGGGAAAGCTTTGTAGGAGAGGGAACACTGGGTTTGCTGTGCTTGGGGGCTTTTGGCACAGAGGGGTTGGTTAGAGGGAGGATAACTAGAAGGGAAGCATTCTGGGTAGTAGGTTTGGGTAAACATATTCATCCTTCTCTAGCTGTTTCTGAGCTGGAAATGGAGTAAAAAGGAAGCTCAGTAACCGAGTTATGCTGCCCTCTGGTGACACCTGCAGCCTTGGGGTTTGGCCTTCAGAGCTGGCTGGTGCAGAAGCTGCAGGACAAAGTCTGCTGTCACGTGATCTTCTCACCAGTCCCTTGACTAACTGGACTCTGATACTGCAGGCTGAGAAGACAGGGTACAGCCAGAACTGTAGCCTGCACTTTAATGACTTAGTGTCGTGTGGTTGTGCTGTGTTGAACATCCCGAATGACCTCAGGATCACTCCTCAGGACTAGGGAGTGGGAAGACGTCACTGTGGAAACAGAACACTTCTTGTTAACACGATATCCTCTCAGAAAGTGGCAATTATTTGCTCAGGGGAGACCTTGGATCTATGCTGAGTGATGTCTTTGAGGTGGTTTTGCAAAACAGAACACAAACTCCTGGAATCACTTGATACTTTTGTTACTAACCCAGAATCTTATCAAAGGCTACTGAATCTGGTCAGTGCTGTATGTGAAAGATGACTCTCTTAAGAAATGTTTGTGAAAGAAGTGCACATGCTGGACCAAGCTGGACCAATAGATGAGTTAGATGTCTGTGATGTGGGATTCCCCCGGTGTGTGTCAGAGAGATGCCATGTAGCTGCTGAACGAGAAAGACACCAGAACCTTACCAGTAGACCGCAGCCTCGTGGTGATACAAAGATTAATAGAAATGGGTTAATTTAAGATGTAAGATCTAGCTAGAAATATGCCTGAACCATTGGCCAGTGTTGTAATTAATATAGTTTCTGTGTGATTATTTGGGTCTGGGCAGCTGGGAGACCAAAAACAGTTTCCGTATATAGACCAGTGTGTGTGATTCTTCTGCCCTGTGAGTCTTGAATTCTAACTTACCATAGTCACAGCCAGGAAACAAGTCATTCATTTATTAATTTGACAGTACCAGTGGGGTAGGCTCCTTATTCCGCACTCTATGATGGAGCAGTCTTTGAATCCCACTAGTTTGTTGCAGTCCTATATGCCAAAGAAATGTCAACGAAAGAGCTCTTTCATCCCCACAGAGGCACGCTGAACATTTGCAGTGTCCTGAAGCACTTTCCTCACGAGGGAACACCCACCCCATGGTGGAGCACTACCTCCATGCAGGGTGCTCACCCTATGCTGGTGTGCTCCCTCCATGCTGGAGCACTGCTCTGGGTTATGGGGAGTCAGTGATAAGCAACATGACAGCTCTTTTCTCAGAGCCGATACTAACTGAAAGAAAATAAATCTTATTTACACTAAAGAGGAATGCAAGTAGTTATCAAAAACCGTATGAAAATGAAAGACCGTAGTTTTTTCTTCTCAACATCAGGATTCCAATTAAAAGTCAGTCATGCTCTCCATGGAAGAACTGACATACTTCTTTTCCTTGGGTTTAAGTTTCGTGGGTTTTTTTGTGGTTGTTGCTGTTGGTTTTACGTTTTTGTTTTTGTTTTTTTGAGACAGGTATCTCTGTATAACAGCCTTGGCAGTCCTGGAACTCACTCTGTCGACCAAGCTGGCCTCGAACTCACAAAGATCTGCCTGCCTCTGTCTCTCTAGTGCTAGGATTAAAGGTGTGCACCACCACTTCCTGGTGGGTTTAAGATTTAAGTAAAGATTGACAAAGTCTTTAGGCCTTACTCCAGGGCTACCTTGAAAGACTTCAGAATAACACTTTGTACCTAGCCCCTCTCTGACAATATCAAGGCTGGTCAATGTCCTTCTGGCTAAACTAGAGAGACAGCTTTGTCCAAATGGTGTTGGGCGATTCTGGAAACACAGGATTTGGGGGCTTATTGTGGTCAGTACCATAGATTTTAAGATGATACACAGGACTCCACGAATGGGAAGCTGAGGCCTGTTTCTGACCCTTCTGCAGATGAGCTATGTAACCATGGACATGACTGCTGCCTTAGTGTGTCTCTGCCAAACCTCCCTGAGTTATGACAGACGTCTGTGTGTGTCTGTTTTCACTTGTTGGATCCCTAAGTGCTTAACATTTGTTCAGAATTACCGTATTCATTAGAATTAGCATATTCTAAAAGGATGGAGTTTGTTAGATTTGGTTTGGTTCCATTTTTTTTGTGGTGTGTGTGTGTGTGTGTGTGTGTGTGTGTGTGTGTAAGTGGAGGGGCTGATTGTTGCTTTATTTTGTTTGTTTATTTGTTTGTTTTGAGATTTTGCTTTTCCTATTTTGGGAAGAGTATTTTTGGGGTTTTTTGAGATAAGTATCTGGAACTCACTACACAGCCTGACTGACTGCGTAGGCAATCCAGTTGATTCTGCTTTCTTAGTGCTGGTTATAAGTAGGCAACAAAGTTTTATTTGTTTTTTATTTTAGATAATATATATGCACTGTGCTGGCTAGTCTTATGTCAACTTGACACAAGCTAGAGTTATCTGAAAAGAGGCAACGTTAATTGAGAAATACCTGCATAAGATCTAACTGTAAGGCATTTTCTTAATTAGTGATTGATAGGGAGGGCCCAGCCCATGTTGCCATCCCTGGTCTAGTGGTTCTGGGTCCTTATTGAGCAAGCCAGATTGAGCAAGGCAGATTAAGCAAGCCATGGTGAGCAAGCCAGTAAGCAGCATTCCTCCATGGCCTCTGTATCTGCTCCTGCCTCCAGATTCCTGCCCTGTTTGAGCTCCTGTCCTGACTTCCTTCAGTGATGGACTCCAGTGGAAGTGTAAACCGAATAGACCCTTTCCTCCCCAGCTTGCTTTTGGTTCTGGTGTTTCCTCACGGCTATAGAAACCCTAAGACAAACACTAACATCTCTGAGGTGACCTTTGATATTTACTCATTTAACCCACAGCTTCGGGGCTTCTTAAACAGTTGAGCCATTTGAGGAAGCGTCGAAGCTGCACAGTGATGCAGGAATCCTCTTAGCCTTCTGAAACTGTCTCACTTTTGTATATTCACCAGAGCGTCTCCTTGTGAAGCAGAGCTTCAGGAACTGATGGAACAAATTGACATCATGGTGAGCAACAAGAAGCTGGACTGGGAAAGGAAGATGCGGGCTTTAGAGACACGGTTAGACCTCCGGGATCAAGAGTTGGCCAATGCACAGACTTGCTTGGACCAGAAAGGCCAGGAGGTACTGAACACACATGTCAGGAAAGAGTTCACACTCCAAACTCATTTGTCACTTACAATCCTGTCAGCACAGTTGATGGAAATGTGTGCTATCAAATAGATGCAGAAATTAAGTCAGGCACTTACTGATGGAGACACCCACTACATCAGTGCTGCCAATAAACCATAGCAGACATTTAAGGTACATGTGAAGTAAGAGTGTTTGAGAACAAAGGTAAAAACGCTTTCCTCTCGCCATGGAGACCAAAGCTGAACTCGTTCAGCAGAGTTAGGAGTGTTTGCTGCTTCTGATCTTGTCAGGGCCCATGGGCCCCAACATAGAAAACTATTTTCCCTTACTGGACTGCTATGGAAGCACAAGAAATAACCAGACACAGTTCACACAGTCACAACGGAAGGGCATCTCAGGCTTCTCTTCTCCTGAAGATCTATCCGGGTTTATTATACAAAACACCTTTTATCCCCCAGGTAAACCAAGGTGGAAGCTCATTAATATCTTCTTGGGGGGGGGGGCGGGACACGGGGCTAGGGAAGCACCTGTAACTTAGTCACCAGCTTTGGCAAACACCTCTCCCCAGGCGATCTACATTTTTAACAAAGGAGAAAGGAGCAATACTTCCTGGCCTTTGTCAGGCAGCTGTCCTACTTGTTTGGCAGGGTTGCATCTGCCTAGTGGCCAGTGAGCCTGCCTGTAAATTACTTTATATGAAATATGGGCCCACATGATCTGCTGGAAAACATTTTATGAACAAGCATATCGAGAGTTAGTTGCCAAAAGAGAGTGCATTTGGTAAAAGTGTGTGTGCATGTGCGTGTATGTTCTCCTGTGTGCGTGGGTTTTCTTGGGTGTGTATTCTTGTGGCGGGGGGGTATGCATAGATGTGTGTGGGTGTGCATGTGTATGCATGTGTATGTATGGGTGTGTATGTGTTCTCATATGTGCATGGGTGTGCACGGATATGTATGTGCGTGTGTACGTTCTCATGTGTGTAGGTTGTCCTGTGTGCATGGGTGTGTGGGGGTGTGCGGTGAACATCTGCAGTGCCCACTTAGAAAGGTTTCTTCCACTCCCATGGCTGCTCACTGCCGAGCTGGTGCTCACGGGAGAATGTGAGAACCCATAGACCCTGGGGGTTGCAAAAAAGTACATGCAGATCTACAGGTCTGGACTCTTCTGGGAGAGGCATAAAAGGAAAGTTTTCCAGTCGGGAATCATATGCCAGAGAAGCGTCCATCAGCCACCTTCCGGCTCTTCTAGATAGAACTTGGTTTGGGCAAAGCTGAGGGTGTTGGTGTCTTACAGGTGGGCGTGGCTGTGGTTTCCCTTGGCAGGAAAGGCAGGTCCCCTGGTCCTGGAATATGCAAGGACCTGCAGTGACACAGATATGTAATAGATATCTCGTCTGCATTTAAACAGAACAATTCAAATCCTTAACAAACCCTCTTAAACATTTTTATTTTCTCGTTAATACGTTAGTTCCTCTAAAATGCAACCATTATCCATAGACTGCCAAACCGGTAACGGATGGAACCTAACTGAAAGAAAAATCTTTGCGTTACATTAGCAGAAGTTCTACATGAGTAACAATGGCACAGCCTCCCAAACAGATCACACAGGGTAAATTCTAAATCTTAATTTAAAATGCGACAGTGCCAACACACCTCCGTGCTGTCCTAATTCGTCACAGTGGACCCGGCTAGAGACGTGTGGTTTCTGAGAATGCAGTTATTAGCGGCTATTTTAAGAACTGTCAGACAAATATTTACTCTTGGCTCGGTGCAGCAGTTTAACTTGGATTGCACTTCTCCTTTTTCAAAGGTAAAATTCAGAAAAAGCTAATTTAAAGTTTGTTCTTCATGCAGGTGGGCTTACTTCGACAGAAGTTGGACAGTCTAGAAAAATGTAATTTAGTAATGACTCAGAACTATGAAGGGCAGCTACAGACCCTCAAAGCTCAAGTAAGAGAACCTACTAAATGTAACGTCACATATTTGGATACATGTTTTAACCTATACAATTTTTGTTTGTTTGTTTTGAGACAGAGTTTCTCTGTAACTTTGGAGCCTGTCCTGGAACTAGCTCTTGTAGACCAGGCTGATCTTGAACTCACAGAGATCCTCCTGTCTCTGCCTCCTGAGTGCTGGGATTAAAGGCGTGTGCCACCACCGCCCAGCAACCTATAACAATTTAAATTGTTAAATTTTTAAAAAGTGTTTTACACACAAGGAAATGTCCTTGTGTCTTAACTGCATATTTGTCTCTGGCTTTCAGCATCCTCTGTGTCCTGATTTGTCTCTCCTATGAGGCTGTCAGCTCAGATACCATCTGCATTGCCTTCACTCTGACAGGGTACCAGACAGATAACTTTCTGTCTCTCCAGAAGCAATATTTTTAATTATTATTAGTTAAGAGACCCACAAAAAAACCCACAAAAATTGTTTCCTATGCTTATTTCTGCGGATAGGGTTTCTTGCATAGCAGCCTAAAATACGGAGGTTTGCTACTCTGAGGTAAGTGGTTGGAAGAACCAAATTGGGCTACTGATGGGCCATTCATAGAAGCCAGTGCCTCTGTACGTGCCATGAGAGGGTACCGATTGCTTGGTCCCCATCACTTAGCTCCCCACTAGGCTTGCATCAAGACCTACCACAGATGTCTCATAGCAGGAGTCACCTCAGCATCACGGCCCAGCAGCTGCTGCGGTCCCTAACCTAGTAAAGGAGTCAGTAGGGAATGTGCTATGATTGGGAACTCTGACCACCAACGCTTTCATATGTAATAACCTAGTTAAAGGAGCCTGGAGCAGTCAATGCTCCTCCTTAAATACCTTTTTTTTAGAAAGGGGATTCAGCCATTAAACATGGAAGAGGAAACATTTGAAGCCATTGCTTAACTGCTATTACAAAATGTTTTGGACTAGCCAGGTCTACATCTTGCCTGCAATTCAGACATGTGCCACTAGAAGGCAGCCTGTACTGTGAAACTGCAGAGTTTTCTGAGCTGAGACCAGATACATCGTAAATTTGAGGCAATCAATGTTGGCTTTTTTCCCCTCCTACAAAGATAGCAACACAGGTCCAAATTCACTCTGACAGTTCAGTGTGGATGTCTGAATCTTCTGGAGAGGTTATCTGTGTTCTGCTGTTTTCCTAAGCACAGGTGAAAGCCCTGGACATTGTAAGATGGCATGTGAACTCGGTAAAAAGTAGGGAGAAGAGACAGGTTGCCGAGGGAGCTGGAGAGCCAGCACAGGGCACCAGCGGTTCTCCTGGGATTTGTTTCAGCAGGCCGCACAGTCCAGACACCATAGTGGATGCAGACAGACAAGCAGTGGGCAGAGCCAGAGGAAATCCTGTCAGCTGTAGCAGAAAGACCATAAAGCAGGAAGCCTACCAACACAAAAACACTCAACAATAGCCAAGTGCCACAGAAAAATAACTATGACCCTGGTCCACCAACAAACACTGAGTAGGAAACCTAGATTTCTACCCTCTCCCAGATAGAACTCCATTCCCAGGCCCCCTGCCTGACTGGTGTCAAGAAGACCAAGTGTGGATAAGAACTATATTACTAATGTCAAACCTCAGCCAGACCTCCCCAGTTCATGGAGCCTGAATTTCTAAAACTGCTTTGTGGGTAGGGAATGAGGAGCCCCCCTCCACCCCCACCCCTGCTCCTGAGGGTGGTGTCAGAGGAAGCCTCGTCAAGCAGTAAGGTGAAGATTCACCTCATCCCAGCTCTGCTGGAGTCTGTATGAGAAGCAATAGTGGGTCCCCATGCCCTCCAGGCACAGGGCGGTCAGCATGATACTGTGAGGGTCCTCGGGACGCCCCCTCCTCTCAGCTGCTGTGAGGAGCACCTGCCCTTTCACCTGACTTCCTGCAGCCAGCAGTAGTCACAACTGTCCTCTTCCCCGCTGCAACAAAGTCAGAACGCATAGTTCTGAGACACAGTGTCCCCCCAGGTCTCCAGGTTACTACAGGGAACCCCTCACAATAGCAAAAACCTGATCAAAAGTGTAAATGAAAACCGGATCAGCAGGTGTCAATGGCAGTATTAGGATACTCTGACTAGGACTTAGAGGCAGTGGTCATGAAGATGATTCAGTGAACATTTACGAACATGCTTGAAATCGCTAAAAATTACAATATTCTAACCAGGCAGTGGTGGCGCACGCCTTTAATCCCAGCACTCTGGAGGCAGAGGCAGGTGGATCTCCGTGAGTTCAAAGACAGTCTGATCTACAGAGTGAGTTCTAGGACAGACAATGAGGCACAAAGAAACCCTGTCTCAAAACTCTCTCTCCCCCTCTCTCCCTCTCTCTCTCTCTCTCTCTCTCTCTTCCTCTCTCGCTTTCTCCCCTTCTCTCTCTCCCTCTCTCCCTCTCCCCCCCCTCTCTCTCTCTCTCACACACACACAC